TTCACATTAAATTACTTAAAAATAATTATTAGTCTGAGATTACGAAAAGATTGATCACACTGTACAAACTGTAAGATTAAAACAACTAATATTTTGTATACTTTCAGATCTTATAAAAATGATTGTTTACAGTCCTAGTTTTTTCTGGCAACTTTCTTGCCCAACGAACATCCTTTATCAGTGCCACAAACAACAAACCGTCCCTTGTTAACTGTAAGACATAATTTTGTTACATAACAATTAAATAAGACATAACAACGTATTATAAAAGAAATAAACAAAAAAGTTAAATGAACATCACACGCATGAGAAGTTAAATGTAAATTGTCGTGAGATTTTTTAAATCCGCGTGAAATGATATCGCGCCATTGTTCTTTGGCTCCACTTTCACTGAGCAATGAAAATGTTAAGATCGGGTTAGACCACGAGCCCCCTGTTGCCCCGCCCCTACCACAACACTCACCGCGTCACACACATCACGCGTTATCATAAACTCGAAATTAACTCGAACGTAACGGAAATATATTACGGAAACTTGACTAATGATTTCGAGAATTGTAATTTCGTCATAACATTTTATACGCAACCTTTTTATCTTGATGACTTATCTCTTGTCTTATTTCATCTGATAGTTGTAGATAGTCCCATTGTAAACACAAGCTATCTGTAAGTTGGTGGAATAATTCGCCAAATTTGAGGAACAAAAACTAATCTAATTGTTAATATGAATTGGAAAAATAAATCAAGAAATTGCACGAGTAGATTTTTTGAACTGACAATTATAGTACACATAATAAAAATATATTTTTTTTAAATTAAAGATACAAAAGAGAAAATAAATCGCATCGTAATAAAAACACCGTTAAAATGCAAATGTTGTCTGAAAATTTTTTTATGAAGTTTATCCAATGTGCACTTCTAACTAAATCTGATTAACCTGTCTTTGACAAACATCCACTGTGAAAATAAAGGAAAATAATGACTGATGATTTATGTGAAAAAAACCCAATCCATCTAAAGAACCACCTCTTCAATACTCTGAAGAATATGAGAAATAAAAGTTCAGTACGTTGTACATACATATTTGTAAGTACGAGTAAAAAGTTTGAGTATAAAAGATTTGTGAAGTAAAAAACATGATGTAATGTTTTTGTGCTGAATATTGCGTAAGTATTCTTTATTTATTTGGTCATTATTCGGAATATTTTTGTTTTGAAAAGGAAGTTAATTTTTTTTTTAAACAAGACAGTTTCGGTACAATAATTTTCCCGCGCATATCGCAACAAACGTGAACGTAGCAAATACCCGAACAGTTAACTAGTATGTTAATTATTTAACTAGCATCAATTACTTACCGAAGTTGAGTGTAAAGTCCGCAAATAACTGCGGTTCCGCGCCGCTGCGATCCTCACAAAAACTCTCACTCACTAATTAATTAAAAGTGCGGTAAATATCGCGCGTGCGTCGTGCGTTGTGCGCAGGTGAGCCGGTGCACACGTGCGCGCTGCCTCCGCACCGGGAACCAATTGACAACCTCACGGCACCACCATTGAAGAAGTCGCACCAGCAGCTGCCTTTGCTCCTGCACTTTGTTAACTTAAAACTTAGATGCTCCTACATATGATAAACAAACGTCTGTAGGAATTGTCTGCTCTATTTTATTCCACATTCAATTTGAATAACTTCACAGTGTAATCAATTACTAAACTTGATTATGATGGCCAGGAATCTTACCTATAGAGATCTAGTTATGTTTCTCTATCTACTATCTCTATTATGTTTATTGGTTTAATGTTCGTTGACATAAACTTAACTTTTAATTATACAATAAACAAGTAATTAATTAATTAAATAACTAATAAATAAATAATTTTTGAATGTTTTCTTAACATGCTACAGTTTCAAACAAACTTTTTCAGTTGCACTTGTTTAATACGCAAGTAATTGAATGAAAATTTCGTTTAAAAATATTTCCTCACATATTTATGCCCGAGGGCTACTGTTCGTTTGCCGCAAAATTTATCCTGCCATATTTACAAAACCCCACCGGCTCATAGACTTCGAGCAGTCTTTCCTATAAAGTTAAAAAAAAATCTAGTTAATCATAGTAGCAAAAATCAGCCGGTTGTTTCCTTTCTGTCAAGTTTAAATAAAAAATTATGTACAATAAATAATGTGCATGTTTGTGTACGTTTTCTGTACTGTTTTTAAATTGAAAATATTTAATTAAATCATATATTACAATTCCACATCCATGAAGTCATTGAACTCAGCCGCTAGGCGTCCTGATATTAAGTATTTCTTATTTTTTTTTAATTTTAATATCATGTTGAAATGATACTGCTATCAAAAACCATAAAGTCGTAATTAAATTCCTTCCCTCCACTTAGTCAAGGCAACGCATAAGCAAAGTTATTTCTCCCACGGTTCAGGTATATTGTCATTGCCAAATAATTTAATTTTACTTAACAAATATCAAGAAAGATTATCACGTCTAGCATAACATGAGCCAAACTGTAATCCATGGCTCGTTACCACTGGGTACCAAGTATAGTTCGAAAGTAGTGCCAATTTTGTGTACTGACGAATTTATGTGTGTATCTGGAAAGGAGTTATATAAATAAGTTAAATTTTTCTTACATTTTACTACACAATTACAAATAAAAAGACACATCATCAGTAGGTGTGGGTGTGGGGAGTGCGACAAGGTGGCGCCATCTCGCGCCGGACATGCCCGCGGCACCTTGCACTATCTATTATATTGTGCTTCATAAAGCCTCCCTTTACTACGCAAAGGCTTTTAACTTAATTACACTCATTAATTGCCTGCGAGTGACACTACAGATATGTCATTTTATATGCTCTAACATGCCCGAGTTTATTATGCACTTAATGTGCTTAAACTTAAATTATTTCAATTCTAAAGTAATTTCTTGACCTCATCAACCCAATCCAAAAATACATGTCAATATTAGCTTCAACAAAGTAAGCAATTCTTTTGAAGCAATAGTGGCGTGTAGCGGGAATAAGTTTGCCTCTTATTCATATCCAGAGCAATCCCGCTGCAACCAGCTGCTGCATTGCAGTGCCACTGGAGTCCACACATCGGACGCATTAATGCAGGACTTTTCTTAAATAAATACAAGCAAAACATACTTCACATTTCACATTGCGGTTAAAAATCTTTTTGCAGATAGAAGTTACAAAGTTTCATTAACAATAAACAAAATGTTTACAACAGAACCTTGATATTTCTGCAACCTGTCAATGTACATCTATACATATATTGGTATTATAATGAATGTCTCGTTCTCATGCATCACTATTCCTCGCAAATTGTACAATATAAGTGCCGATTATTTCATCATTTGAAATTGTAAGAGACTGAAGGGAGTGTTCTTTGAGGTGGCTACGATTAGTCACCCTACTCGAATGCTCTGGTTTACTTCCTATGCCGCACAAACTAAGCCTTTCAGCTAAGCACAAGTGATGCTCAACTACAGCTTTAAAAGTTGTTCATAACAAAACTGATATCCAAAGAGTTGCATGAGTAAACTGATCTGCTTATATTGTTTAATTTAAAAAGTGGGCTATGATCATTAGAAGATTCGTGGTCACTGAAGATTTGTAATCAATTTTTTAAGGCTTAAAATGTGTTTCCATGTAAACAGTTAAGTTAAATAGTACTTAACAGAGGTATGTACATGTTTACCAAATGTATTGCAATATTCTTTCTAAAAAAACTTTGTGGCCAATCCCTTACACACTCAACCTTCTTCGAGATAATGACACCTCAGGGTCTACTCTTCTTTTATCATTAATCTTTCAAACGAGGACGCGATTGCCGCGGCATAAAGACTGTCCCGGTTTCAGTCGACGGCTCCCTGGGGTGATGACGCCGAGGTCGCAAAACATGAAAGAACATCTAGTTCTAGAGCTCTTAGTTTTAAGATCATAAGACACCACCGCTAAAAGCATGCGACACAATTTTATGGGGAACTTATAATCTTAAAATCATTTTGTGTATTGTTCATAAAAAATATACAAAGCTTCAATCACTCAAAGCTATTGAAAGTAAAAGAACATACAAACATGTCGCACTGTACAGTATACAGAGTGTTTTATTATTACTTACGACGCCCACGGTCGCAACTTGACGATGTTCGCAGAGCGGAGGCTCGAGAAATAACTCGTAGCGTGTGATTACCTGATGATTGATTAGTTTGTCGCGGCGTGTTTGCCGAGGTCGACTGAGCCCTGATATATCGACATCTAACGACGCAGTTTACTTAAGACGTGTCATATTATCTCATGATTCCCGGCATCCTGCGCAACGTGGGCTTTCATTAACATACTAACATTTGCGTACAAAGTGTAACTAAATAAACATAATGTATCGACTTAATTGCCTTGTAATTATTAGGTATGAGTAATACGAGCGAAAAAATTATTTAAGGTCTTTTAACTTTGAAGCTTCGACTACAATACGGGAAGGCGAGGGGCCGCATACTTTGAAAGATATTGGGAAAGGCCTAAGACCAGCAGTGGACAGACAAAATTGTTTTCAGATAGCGAAAGTTTCAAATAAAAAACGCAGTTGTCAAATATTTCGTGATAAAGGACTTTTGCTTGAAAACATGGATAATTTGTTTAATAGGAAATTACAAATGTCGCGGTGTATTTAAATACAAAAACCATTGCAATTCAGATAGCAGGAGCACCTACTAAATGTTTACGAGCAAATTCGTAGCATAGCGTAATGCTATAAACCGCCTAGTGCTTTTGTAAATACGGTTGATTGTTGATATTAACTTTAATTTATTTAATTCCTATTATTATTTATAATTTTATTTTAACTACGTATCGCATGTCATATATGCATCGACAGTCAAGAAAGTTTTTAATTTGTTAATAATTTTAAAACCTATGTACAAATTACTAAACGAAAAATAATGTCAGAAGACATATTTTCATGCCTGACAAGCATGACAGATGACAACCGACAGCAGCTGCTCAATTTCTGAGATTGTCAAAAAACACCGCGTAAAGTATGGAATAACACTCTTGTATGCAAGAAAAATTACTTAAACTTGACATAATATAATTTAATATTTGTAGGCAAAATGTTCGGGAAAGCGTATAAATTAAAATCAAATAACACTTTAAAGAATTCTGAAAAGTATGTATTTTATTTTGTGGCTCGACTTGGAATCTGTTTTGTTTATAAAATCTAATACGTTTTGTATGCTTTTTACAGAAAACATTTAGCACAGCGTATTTTAAAAGAATTCCCAGCTGCTACAGACGAGAAAGTGAAAGAGTTAGTTCCTGTGAAGTCAAACACGAGCTGTATGAAATTGATGTTGCATTCTGGTGAGAGTGTGGGAGTGTATGTGGTGGACAATGTGCCCATGGTGATAGAGACCGGCGACGTGCTGGTGCCCACCGTGTGCGCCCTGTGGAAAGTGCCGGACCTCCTGCCCACACTTATTATACATTCACCAGTCCTCCCCAAGGTATTCATCTCTCATTCTGTAACTTTTATTCTATATGAATACTTTTTTTCAAGGAGTTATAAAATATATTAATTACAAAGTTGCTACACAACAATGGTAACAAACATGTGACTTGACATGAGTCATGGATCATATAATTATTTACATCATAATATATTGTAAGAAAGAAATTGTGCAACCATTTTCAAATAATAGAAGTCTTGATATCACAAATTTTTATTAATTTAATTATTTTAAGAAAAAAAAATTCTTGAAACAACTTTAAAGCAGAATATATCATGTTATTCCAATATGTAACTGAAGATGTGCATTTAAAGAAATTCTTCTGCAATGCATTAAATCATATTACTCTACCTTGTATGTTAGCTTGCAGGAGGAGCCCCATTGTATGCACCGGGAGTGACACTGGCCGATGCAGCGTCGTTCCCTCGCTTCTCCCGCGGTGCGCTAGTGGCCGCCGCCACCGCGGACAACAGTGCAGTGGGGGCTATCGGCCGCACCACCATCTCCTCTGCTGATCTCCTCAGAACTACGATGTCAGTTTAATTGATTGCAGATCTACTTAAATAAGCACACAAGTATAACTTAACTGAATTGAAATTTGTAAGGACTTTGAATTGCTTAAATAACTTTTTAATAATAAAACTGCTAAACAATTTGTAGGGGTGTATGCATGGAAACGCTTCATGTATTTGGTGACCTTCTGTGTAAGGAGCCCAAGTTCTGCAAACTAGAGCGGCCTAAGCTGCAGCCCCCAGCGTACAGCTTCACTGCGGACATCACTGCAGATATAGCTCAGGTTAGATATCATCATGCTTTCGTCACCACATTTTTCCTGACCGAATAATATGTTGTAACATTTTTATCCAGTTAAGTATCCAACAACCAGTCAGAGAGGAATGGCCCAGTTTAGTTAGAGAATTGAAAGAAACACCTCACATAGAAAAAACGACTCATTTCCCAGTTTTAAATGAGCCTAAGACCATTCCTGACGAGGAGGAGACTCAAGTTGCTAATAATGAGGTATCGCAGTTTGATGAGACTCTCATGACAGGTATGTTGTACTCGCACAGAATGTAAATGTCACAATTTAATTTTACTTTGTACAAATGAGTAATTTAATTATTAAAGCCGTTAGTTTCTCTAAAACACCTTTACAAATGCAGTCCCTCATCCCTCTCATATTTAGAGAACATTTAATGAAGACGTCATTTTCAGATATGTCTCAAACAGAGGAGGATCTCGTACCCACAGACATGGACGAACTGCTGCAGTGGTGCCTCTTGAGCTTCATCAAACTTGAGGGGAAGAACTTGCAGCTGCCACTCAAGACAAACCTGCTCTACAAGTAAATATATCATGCACTTAACAACATCACAACGCTGTACAAATGTTGGAATAAGTACAAGTTATTTTAATATATGGAAGTGTTGATGTTTGTATAATGTATTATTGCGTGTAAAGCATGTGGCATGTGTCAGGAACCACCTGATGCCGCTTTGTCCGTCACACCGGACCCTGGACGTCAAGAAGTCCAGCTACAAGAAGATGAGCAAGTTCCTCGAGGCTATGCAGCAGGTACTGTTTATTAATAAATGATGATATACACAGTATCATAGGAATTAAATGAAGTCAAATAGTATCAACATGAATGTAACACAATGTTGCATGATCAAGGAAGGTCTGCTAGAGGTGCGCGAGGTGGAGAAGGGCGTGTCCGCCGTGGTGGCCGTGTGTGCGGCGCACCCGCGCGTGCGCACGCACCGTCCCGCCCCCGCCCACAGCCCCGCACCCGCCCCCGACCTCGCCGCGCCCCGCCCCCCCGCCGTGCGCGACCTCTACTGCGTCACCGCCGCCGTCGCACAACTATTAGCGCCGCTCAAGTAAGCGACAGCGCTCAATATATAAATTAAACATGACATGTAGATGTACATAACACATGTGTGCAGGAAGGGCACGGCGCTGTCCGCGGCGCAGGTGCGGGCCGCGCTCGCCGAGCATGTGCGCGCGCACGGCCTCGCCGCCCAGCCCGGCAGACTGCGTGTCGACCCGCTGCTGGCCGCGCTCGTGGGACCTCAGGTACAGCACTCACGCCTGCCCGTGCCCGGTCCGCCCGGTGGAAGATGGTTCATCAAACGACTCGAATATAATAGTTTCGTTGATTCAGCAGGAGAGCATAAGCTGGGAGAGTGCGATGAGCGCCGTGCTGGGCAAGATGACGCCGAGCACGGAGCTGTGCTTCCCCGACGGTTCCGTCAAGCTCATCAAGAGCCGCCTCGAGCCCATCAAGATGCAGGTCGTCACCCGCAGCGGCAACAAGAAGGTCCGCTGCGCCCTCCACACCACACCACACATTACACTCCATTCATTACTCATTTTACTTTTTAAATAAAAATTTAGTCATATTCCAATATTAAAGAAACTCCTACTTGGTTGTGGTGATGGTCCGAGAGCTGAATTGGTGCAGTGAGGTGTGCGGTTGTGTGCAGGTGACGCTGGTGTCCAACCTGGAGTCGTACGGGTTCCGTCCGGGTGAGCTGGCGCGCGAGGTGCAGCTGGGCGCGGCGGCCTCCAGCGGCGTGACGCGCAGCCCCGCCGCCAAAGCCGACCAGCTCATGGTGCAAGGAGACCAGGTGTGTTTACATAGTCAACATTTTTATATTTGAAAACAATTTCACCAACATAGATGATTAACTAACTCTTCTCGACTACATAATGCGTTATTGAAGTAAGATAAGTTTAACGCTCATTCCTCTTGTCCACTAATGTTTCTACTTTAAGTTTGTAGTATTTAAATTACATGTATACAAACAAAACTGTATTTTAAAGTAGGCATCCAAAATTGGACCTGTTGATTTCAAAAGATGGCTATACACTACAGATGTACTGAATCTCATGTTACGGTCATTTAACCTGTCATTTTAACATTATATAATTGAGTCAAAAAGCGATGTAAAATAGCAATGAAACAATCAGTAGGAAAACTGAGATGGATGAATAAATCAAGTAATAATAATTTGCAGACACACTTCGTAGCAAAGCTGCTGATAGAGAAGTACGGCCTGCCCAAGAAGTACCTGGAGGGTGCAGACAAAGCTCTGAATAAGAAAAAGTAATTCGCCTTGCTTGCCGTGAGCCGTGTACAGACTTATGTCAGATTGATATATGAAATAAAACACTTTATTGTACATTAAACATATTTATATATCTTAACCTTAAAATCTAATAAAATTATTTTCTGAAATTACACAAATGTAAACATTCTATTACTAAAACAGTAAATATATGGCCATGATTGTAATGTAAGCATAATTTTTTTAAGATAAATTTGATTTTTAAGCCTATGCAATCATCAATATACACAAATTTATAGTAACAACAAGAAAAGTTTAAAGAGTTTATGGAAGACAAATTGTAAATAAAAAAGTTAAGTTATTCAATTTCCATGACAAATGACAAGGAAAGGAATGACTTGTGTTGTATGCACAACAAAGTTATTTACACAAATTATAAACATGCTACCTCTATTACATAACTAATTATTATAGAAAAAATCTAATCTACATAAGGGTGGGTTGATGTCCGTTTTTTATACAATATACAAATTATATTGAAGCTCAAACTAATTTACATATTCTAATAATTAAAAAAAACTTAAAATGATTTACAAACTAGTAGAGAAATTATACCACAACCATTGTATGAATTAAAACTATATCTAACTAGGTATAGTGAAAACTACTTTGATAATATTGATAAAATGTTAAGAAATAAGACAACTTTAATGTTGACAAGATGATCACAACATTAATGTTTTTAAAAAGCCATATATTGTTAAACCTTGGTGGATGATTTAAATTTGAATGGAGTTTTAAAGTTTAGCAATGATTTTCTGATCTTACTTTTCTTTAAGTCCTTGGGAGCAGTAGGTGTTTGCGGGTAATGTTTGAAGCTTGAGCGCGTTCGGTCAGCAATGCAACCTGCACTCACCTCACTGCAGCGGGGCATGGCGCACCAGTGACTGTGCGCACTCACCATAGAGCTCCCTGACGTTACTGAGCTTTGAGATGTGAGGCTAAACTTTGAAGGTGTTTTTCTTAAGTTGCTCTGATTTGAAACATCACTGTACACTTTAGCCTGCTTGGATGGGGAGGAATGAGTCCATTGCTTGGCCGCTCTCTTCTCTCTCACACTTGCAACATCAAAATACTTAAATTTTGTTATGTCATTCACGGATGCATTTTGTTTGCTTTGATTATCTTCAGTTTGCAAATGATCCAAGTCATAAAATGTTAAAGTGACACTTTCATCACTTCCAACAAATGGGTTTGAAGGTGTGAAATGCACTTTTTTGGAAATAAAGTCAGGGAAAATGTTTCGACGAGGCATATTATCCAAAGTAAACTTTTTCGCTGTCACAATAATACTTCCATCTCCCGTGTCTGCCGACAGGGAGCTGTCCAGATCCTCATAGCTACAGCTCTGCCGGCGTGGGCGCGAACGCACGGATCCTGATCGGCGCCGACGACGGCGCGACTTCCAGCGGCTCTTCTCGGCGCTGGCAATGACAGCCGGCAGGGTGATACCATTGCTTCCTCTTTCACCAACATCTGAATCATTGTTGCAGACAATCTCATTTATGGGGCTGGTCATAACTTCCTTGACCATTAGATCTCTCTCCCTTCTGTTTAGTGACTCTTCCCTGTCTCTCAGAGCCATAAGCCGGGACATCCACTGGTGACTTAAAGTTTCTTCTGACACTTTCTGAGCAATGGTAAAAGTGTCTCTAGATTCACTGTATGGTTTTCTGCAGCGGGGCACATAGCCAGGCAGCTCTAGGGCCAAGGCTGCCAGAGTGGGAGACAAAGAAGCTCTTATTAACTTGACATTTTCAATATCTTTATTTGCTTTCTGTTTTGGGCTAATATTCGAGTAAATCGGGCTCTCCTCTGTCATACACTGTGTCTTCAGCGAAGAGTTAATATTCTTACACAATTCTACAGCTTTTTCTGAATCACATTTGTTCAAATCAGACCTATGAACGAAGTCTTTATTTGACACAAGTATTTCGGACAAATGTTTTGGCTTTGGAGTGCTTTCCACATTTGATAATATTGTCGGATGGTAGATAACTACTTCGGGGCGTAAGCAGGCATTCCTTTCGTCGGAAACCAGAGAAACAATATCTTGAAGATCATCACTGTACGGAAACACGGTTTTTTTACCATCACAACTTTGCCAAGAGTAGCAAAGAGTGTGAATCACATCTCCGATCTGGCGCATGAGGTCCGCGAGCCCGCCGACCGTCGGCTCCAGCTGGAAACAGTCGACGCGCACTTCTCCGCCGTCGTCGATGTAAATAGAACTCGGTGTTATGCATTTTTTTATAACGGTGAAATTAAAAGTCTCTACTAGCTTACAAGCCTTCGCGAGATCCAACAACATGTGCCAAACAAAATTTTCCGCAATATACTTATCAGCGGCGGCGCAGATATCGACGAGCTCCTGCAAGCTGCGCCAGCAGCTGTACTCGAGTACGAAGTACAGAGTTTTCGATGCGTTATGGAGTATTGTGTCGTAGTAGCGCAGCAAGTTGCCAGATAACACTTTACTTATCGTTTTTACTTCGTTTACAATATTTTGTATTTGTTCGTCGGAGTACGCAGTACAATCGTAAGCCTTCCACGCGTATATGTTGTTGGTGACCTTGTGCTTAACTTTGTAAAACGCTCCGCCGCGGAGAACATCGAGAACTTGAAAATCCTTTAATTTTTCCGACATTCTCGCGTTTTTCAAATTAATACGAAAAATTGCCACATTTTGCGACCGAAACAAAGCCACAGCACTTTTAAATCTTGAAGACCGTTACGGATTACGACTTTAGGGTTGTACATCTCGCAATCTCGCACAGATTTCAGCGCAGCCCGGATTTAAATTTTTCAATGTTTAACGGTTTTTTTATAAAGCAAAAATATTGTAAAATTTTTATGAAATAAATTAACAAGATACTATAAATATCTAGCTATTTACACAATTTAAAATAATTTGTAGAAAATTATAATAGTTTTTAAAAATCATTGTTTAAGGAAAAAGAGTTAAGAGTTTCTAATAAAAAAATTACCTTATTGCTTTTTATCTATGGGCAGGGGACTGGTGTTCAAACTAGGGTGGTACCTGTGTGATGGATTATCAGACCTTTAAAAAAATTGAAGTTCTACAAATGTTTCTAACATAGTCCTTACATATTTTAATAGTATTAAGTAATTAGTATCTAAACATATTAACAATAGGCCGGACTGCTTATAAGAGAGCGGAGTATTTTATTGAATTTAGTAGATGTTTTGATGAACAATACCAAATCAGTACTAATGTATCAACACTATTATGTAAGTAAAAAATAATTAATTGTGTAAAACTTTTCTTTTCGTATGACCACCTTCGCTCCATCTTTAGAGCCCAAATTTGTTGAAGACGAACAACGTTTCATTGCGAAGTTCCTATGGCCACCTTGCATCTCCATTCTCAGACCTTGATTGGCAAACATCGAGACAGTTGAAACGAAATAAAAGCTTGTGTACAACTTATAGTCAAAAGCCTGAGCAGTTGAGCGAGACGCTACTAATTGTTGTTTTGTCAGAAACTATGTAAAGTGAGCTATCTTTAGTTTGATTTCTGTCCACCGGATCAGACATGTTTATTGTGTGGAAGTTGTGTAAGTATGAATATTTCATTTTGAAATTTCATAATTGATTATTTTTGAATTAAAACATAAATAAAATTGTTTCCCTTTATGCCTACTTTGTTCTTCATAACTACATGAAGAAATAACATTAAACCAAAAATTAAGTTGCTAACAAACAAAAAGGAATATTTTTTGTTAATGGTGCGAGACATAGCTCAATAATGTATTCGAAAATTATAAAACACCTAAGTTATCTTGTTATTTGTTAGATTACTACTATTCCAAAACAGATCCTCGATAGTTTATATTTGTTCACGCGTATTGACACGATCAAATCAAAAAAGCATTTATTCTTTATTCCATTCAAAACTGCTGTTGTCAACGTCATCCTTAATGTCAAATGTGAATTGTCACTGTCAATCAACCATTATTTTTTGTATTTATGAAAAATAAAATAATGTAATTAAAGGAAAAGTATTTGTACTTACATAATAATTAGAGGTAACCAAATTTTATCTTTCAAGCTCAGATTATCGTAAATTTAGTTAAGTATCATACTCGTTTGTGTTACAAGCTTTCAATTTACTGTAATGTGAATGAAGTGTCGGAAGGTGTTGAAGACCACTTAATACTATCATCACATTAAAAATGCAGATAACCGATCTTCCCGTGGAAATTGTCGTGGTTATCGTTAAAAAGTTAGACATTAAATCGGTCCATAATTTATATGAGACATGTTCGTATTTTAAGAATGTTATTTGTATGTATAGTGTAGTGAAAACTGCTAAATTGGCGCTAAGTACAGCAGGGTCCGTGCATTTTTTAAAACAAACTTTTATGAAGGATATATCAAGATTTCTGCAGACTCTGGACTTGCGTGGCATCGGTGACCTCAGAAGGTCGGCACTGCAGGCTGCCGTCCGAGAGATGAAGTGCTTAATCACTCTTGATGTTTCCTACACAAATATTGATCTTCTTGATTTTTATGAAGTATATAAAGTATGTCCAACCATTAAGAATGTTGCTTGTAACTTTGTGTTTCATACCAAAAAAGATATAAAAGCTCAAGACATTGAATGGCAAGGTGTTTTCCAAAACTTTGACAAAGTCCATTTTGTTGGGAATGCAGCAAATCTATGGTATTCAAATTTATGTGTGTGGATGTTGGCCAAGGCATGTCTGAGTCAGTTGCAACTCACTATTATTGAAAAATTTGGCACAGCACTTGTACCAGTGATAAAAGAAAATGATACAAATGTACATTCCAAATACATAAGCATTTGCATTTTGGATCTATGGAATATACCCACATTATCTGAGACAACATTCGCTCTGCCAAGTTTATTACGTTTAGAAAATATATATGAATGTGTTGTAATTATTAAATATGGCCAGAATGGTGAAGTTTATGCATCTCCAATGTTGATGAAGTTTTTAGAATGTTATAATGCAATGTGCATCAAACAGTTGGATGCATCTAAACATGTCACCAATGGTGTCATTATGCTCTGGAATAAATCACAAACTATATTTGATGATATGTTCTTTAAAGAACTTAAAGGTAAAATGATGAAGCTTCTGCCACACCACATTACAGATAACAATACTGTTGTCCCGCAGGAATATGATTACTGTTTCCTTACTGTTCCTTCATGTCAAACAAAAGCTAATGATTCAAATAATGTTACCTTTAAGAAGCAAAGACTTGCACCTGAGTGTCCTACTCTTGATTATGATACTGTTTTCAGCAACCATAAAACAATACATCTAACTATGTTTTTCCCGAGCAGCACCAACATCCCAGTGACTCTATCCCTACGCAGCCAGTATTTAAGAAAATTAAAATCTCTATACTTGACGGGAAATGTCATGTATTCAATGAATTTCTTCAGTGTTTTGTTCAGTTGTTGTGAGCAGTTGGAAACATTAAATGTAGAAGCCTCACCTTATCTACACCATTTGGTTGTGTTGCGAGATATATCACAGAGTCATAGTTTAAAAAATTTGAGATTAATCAATAAACACAGTCATTTAGAAGTAATGTTTTCATATTTAAGTAAATGTAGTACTCTAGAGAATATTCACATAGTAGATTTCCACTCGCATGTCAACACCTTCGCTGACCCGAGCCCTTTGTTTGAGAGGTGTCACAATTTGTACTGTATAAGTATATGTGCTGACCTGTCCGACTCTGCAATAACGAGAGCAAACCAATTATTCAAAAAACTAAAAACTACCTATGGCAAATGGCATGTGCATGTAGCATTGTCGAGGAACCACTGTCTTATTGACAAGTACAATCCCTATTCCCATGTCTTCAATTTATCTTCATTTAAACCAATAGAGCAATTGTACTAATGTTTCTGGTTATCAAATATCTATTTATAAATCATGTTTTTATTTACAAGAGTTTTAATAAACCATTGAATTAATTATTTTTAAAAAAATACTTATTTTGACTGGACTCCAATTTCAGGATTTTATTATACAACAACACCATAAAAAGCTTTTATGAAGCTAGTAGCTGCAGGCCTAGTTTTAGTCCTCTTTACCTTTTTATGATATAGAAAGGATGGGAAGGGGAAGCAGATTTAACGGAGAAGGGACGCATTGGATGGGGGAATAAACTCTGTGTCTCCCCTCTGTCGATTCGAAAACTAGTGGTAATGGGGTAGGTGATGCATCTGCAATGATCAAAAGCAAGGATGACAGTAGTACTAAATATACAACAGATATACAAAGGAAATATTTTATACACAAAGTATCCTGTGTCTGTAGTTATAGCAATAACTTTACTTTTCAAAAATAGTTCAATTTTTAGTGATTTTTGATAATATAAAATGAACACATTTTTAAAATCTGTACACAGATGGCAAGCCACTCTTGACACAAGCGCCATCTATTTAGAGCTTTCAGTTTCTCTCCCATTGTGTATGTGTAACAAGTAGCGCTCTCTCCGCTATTCTGGTATGATGGTAGCTTGCTCGTGTTTGCCATCTTTTGAAAAAGTAAAGGGAGAGGACGGTGGTGCTGCGGTATGGCGAGGTTGATTGAGAGCTGCCGCAATAAAACAAGATATTTTAAAATTAAAAATATTTTATTGGTGAGTAGAAGCGTGTTCGCGCATTACTTTGCTGACTAGCAGTTTCCAAATATATATCACATGATTCATTTTTACAACTTTAACAAAAAGCCATTTTTTATTAATATTATATATTACATATAAAATTATTACATACAGAGTTCGGCTCCTAGTAAAAACGCTTTTCGATTCACGATTTAAATTAAAAAATAAATAAGGTACTTGGTAGGTGTAGGAGGTGGAGAGGGAGGGAGAAGAGGGTGGGGGCGAGCGTTGTGCGACCGTTACACTATTACGTTACCTTAGATACTGTTTAAATAGCTAGAATAATATTTACAGGCGGGTACACAGAAACGTTGACTAGAGACCGTGTCTGGACAAACGACATGTCGGGGAGAGGACCTTGCCTTGTCTTTGGTAACTCGCTGAGTGGCGCAGTGGAGCTGGACGCGGCGCATCACCGGATACTTATCAAAATATCTATTTGTGTAAAACATTTCATACTTTTGGTAAAATTGGTATCTTCATCTAAAATAAATATCATCATAAAAATGTAAGTAAACAAATGGAGCGCGCGGCGGATGTGGCGACTGCGCGACGAGTGCGCGGAGACTGCGCGACGAGTGCGCGGAGACTGCGCGACGAGTGCGC